GCTGCCGTCAGGTTAAGTGCAGAGGCCTTAGCGCAGTCTCCAGGCAGGCTAGGCTATTCACAGCCGGTCCCAGCTCAGCTCTGCAGCTCAGCTCTGCAGTCCAGCATCACCACCTGAGCTCGACTTTCATTCTTCCAGCAGATCTTTATCCAGCAGATCTGTATACTTTGTGCCTGGTACTGACAGGAGGTGCCCGTCAGCGGGGAGATAGGGGTGTTGGGGGAACTGCCTGGGAGTGAAGCCTGGCTCTGCCTCAGACCTGCAGAGAGCACAAGCAGGTGATTCTCTTTTTGTACCTGTTTTCCTGTCTTTAAATGGGTCCAAGTGGCAGTGCCCTCTTGTAAGGTTGCCACAGGATGAGTGTCTCAGACAGATAACGTCCTTAGAACCGGCAGAAGTGTCAGCCACTGTCACACCCACCTTTAGTCTGGCTTTGCCCTCCCATGCTCCTAACAGTAATGCCCATGTGCCACACGGGGAGCAGTGCAGGCTCTGCTCCGTGTGGGGCCAGGAGCGCTCACTTGGTTACTGGCGAAAGGAAGACAGGGCCGATGCGTTTGGTGTGTTTGTCCCTCTTGCACGTGTCCATCGGGGCTCCTCTGACACCCAGCCGAAGGCAGGATCGCCTGGGCCTTCCTAAGTGATTTGGACTCATTGCGGTGCGCCTTATACCCGGCAGGTGTTTGCGGGTGTAAAGGTTTGTATGGTCAGTGGATGTGTACACACACTTCATGTGTAGGCATATGGCGGTTGTCCTCCCCAGATGGTGACAAATGGCATCACGCCGGTGACTGTCGCAGGCATAATGTGGAGATGGGAGGAATCTGCATGGAGGGAGTGTTGGGGGCAGGAAGATATTTGACTATTTGACAGGTTGGGATATAATTCCAGAGGGAAGGGCCTTGCCCGAGGCAGTTTTGGGTGGACCCCTGCCTGCCCCTCAGGGCCTCCCCTTGTGCTCTGAGAGTCCTGCCCAGCACCTAGGTCTCTGCCTTGATGATAACGTGCCTGCCACATCCAGTCATAGGTGTTTGTGTGACATATGGTTGTGTGCATGGGTCTGCCTTACCCTTACACAGAATGAGAAACACATTTAGCTTTTTTTCTATCTTCAGAGAAAACGTTCCATGACTTCTTTGCCTTGCATATAATTCACTATGGTTGTGGAGCATTTTTACAAATTCTTCAAGCGTTGCAGTGTTTTGCTGAGTATCCCCTCAAAGCCTTGGACAGTACCTTGCAGGGTCCCCAGAACTAATGAGGGCCCAGCATCCAATGCCCTTTCCATCTACACCCCTGCCCCCACCCCCCACACCCTCACCCCCCGTGCTGGGCAGGTTGTGTGCCAGCTCTGCCGCCCGCTGGTTAGCTGGAGAGATGTGGCTCTCCAGAGTCCTAGGCAGGTTTCATTCCCGCGTTATGTGCACAGAGCTAGGCACTTTCCCTGGAGTGACTAGAGTCCCCCAGGATGCCACCTCCACAAATCCTGCAGGAGCTGTAGTGCTGAGATTAAGACACTTAGCCGTCCATGATCTTCCACGAGCCCCACTTTTCTCTATCTCAGCTGTTCGGGTCCCTGAGCGACCCAAACACAGGGCCCAGGCTGGGAAGCCAGGCTTCATGAGGGGCTGGTGTGTGGCAGGGCCAGTGGCCTGGAGCAGTGAACCACTGGGTACAGCCAGTGACGCGGCCTCGCACGCAGGCCCGCTGGGCCACCTAAGTTCCTGCCTGCGTTTCTCTCGAGAAGCCTGCTGGCTTAAACCTGAGCTTCCTTTGCCTTCTTTCCCTTTGACAGGCAAGTTCAGAATGCCCACACGGGCCTCGACCTGACCGTGCCCCAGCACCAGGAAGTGCGGGGCAAGATGATGTCTGGCCACGTGGAGTACCAAATCCTGGTGGTAACCCGGCTGGCTGTGTTCAAGTTGGCCAAGCACAGACCCGAGGATGTCGTCCAGTTCCTGGTGAGCTGGGGGCTCTGCCAGGATGCTCCCAAGGGTGCCCGAGGTCCAGGGGTCCTGCTGGGCAGACTACCTGCCAGCAGGGTACAGCAGAGAGCGGGCACTTCTCCAGCACTCACTCAGGGCCCGGAAGTGCCAGAGGTTGCGGAACAATAGGGACATGAGTGAATCAGGAGCTTACAGTCTGTGGGGAGAGAAACTTGTAAGGGGACAGATACAGGCGGTGACAAGAGCACTTGGGGGGCTGTGGAAGTATAGAGAAGAGACAGTTAGCCGGACGGGAAGGGTTCTGGAAACTTCTCAGAAGAGGCGAGGGCTGAGCTATGTTCCAAAGAGCAGGTGGACCCAAGCGGCAGCAAATGGGAGAAGAGTGTCCCAGGCAGAAGGCACAGCTAAGGAAAGGCTCGGAGGCTCGAAACGAGGTGTTGTATGGGGACCTGTGAGCCGCTGAGTATCGTCCTGGAGGAAGTGAGAGATGATGAGGGTGAGACAGGCAGAATCCAGGGCATGGAGGGCGTGGAGGGAACCTGGCTCGTTTGCAGCGGAGGAAGAGTTTTAAGTAGGGGAGTGACATGGTCCTGTTTGCCTTTCACTGGCTGGTCTGGCGGGAGGGTGGAGCTGGATCGGAAGGAACAGGGCAGCGGGCAGTGACCCCAGTTATGAAGCTAATACAGCAACGCCCCGGGTGAGGGCTGGGAGCGGCCAGCAGCAGTTGGTATGGAAGAGAGGAAAAGGGGTGAACATAGCTCCAAGGTGACACGCGTGTAATTCGCTGACTAGTCGCTTCCACCGACTGAAATAAAGGGCACTGGTGGAGGTCCCAGGGGAAGTGCCAGGTGTGAAGTGTCCGCCTGCTGGATCCGTGTGGACGGGGTACAGGACAAGGCCGGCGTGTTCGGGAGGCATCAGCGTGGAGGCCATGCTGGCCGTCTGGGAGTGGAGGAAGTTGCCAGAAGATAGACCTGGAGTGTGGCGGGAAAGGCCAAGGAGGACACCCTGGGGACACCACGGCCCAGGGGCGGTCAAGGAGGAGGCGGAGCCTCCGGGATTCTGAGGGAAGAAAAGAGAGTGTCGCAGAGTCACAGATGCTGAGGGAGGAGTGAACTTCAGGAAGGGGCAAAGTCACGGACTCATTCGTTGAGTATTTACCTTTGGCTTCTTCTAAGAGGGTCTGGAGCTGTGAGCAGTAGAGACAGGCCACAGGGTGGTAGATAAAGGTACAATGCGCCAGAGTCTGCGGTGCAGACGGGAGCAGCCGGCTGCGGGTTTGCACGCAGGGGTTTCTGATCTCCTTCCTGGCAGCCAGGAAAGAAAGGGAAAATGCATCGCCTTGCTCTCGTGACCTATTAGAAAAGACACCAGATTCTAAAAGGGAAAAATTTATGGTACAAACCTTTCATTAAGGGACAGTCAGTCCATCATGGGAAGCAGCTAAAGGGTGTGATGTTTTTCAAGGTGTACCACCTCCCCGCATCACACCAATGCCACTTTTTCCTGACCAGTGACACCCGTGCCCTCTGGGGTGTGCATATGTGTGCGTGGGTGAGGGTAAAGGAGACCACTTTTGCTTCCCACGGGATCTAGGAATCTCTTTGAAGTTTTATGATTTAGCTAAAAAATAAAAATTAAAAAAAATGAGCCTTTTGCATCCTACTCCTTAAAAGGACATACATGCTTTAATGTAAAAATGGATTTAATTGCTAACCACACACTGAACCAGCCCGTAGGAGGAGGCACTGTATTTGCTTTCTGTTCAGCAGTGACATGCGCCGTCTGCTGGCAGTGCAGGCACACACCGGTGCCAGAGGAGCGTGGGGTCGTGGTACTTTCTGCCCGGTGCACACCGGGGCACCGGTACACAGGAGTGCTCACCCTCAGCTCTCGGTGCCTCTCCCTCAGCCTCCTCCGGTTCCAGAACCGAGGACCTGGTGGGTGCGTGGGCCCGGCCCGCGTGGAGTAGTCCGGCCAGCAGAGGGCGCTCGGCCCCCACCCTGTCGGCTCTGCTGGATGGGGCTTCCCGCACTGAGTTTTAAGGAGCCCCCAGGGTGGAAGCCTGCGTCACTCTGTGAAAGGGTCCCCTTCCCTTTCTGTGAGGGCTGTTCTCAGGGACGCTGTGGAACCAGGCTTTTGTGCGGACACGGGCAGGCTGCAGTTCCCTGTCTCAGATGCTTCCCCGTGGGGTGGGGATGAGGGTGGGGGTTCAGGCGATACTGCTGGTGGCTTGGGGCTGTGTGCTCCAACACCGCTGTGCAACGGGATTGCCGGGTCCTCTGTGTGCGATGCATCCAGATGCCCCGCAGCCCACTGGCACATGCTGCGGGTGAGGGCTGGCCCCGGAGTCCAAGTGACAATGCTCATGCGTCCAGGCTCGACGCTCCCGCAGAGAAGTTGGAGGACAGGCCCAGCAGGCCGGGAGAGCACAGGCCAAGGGAGGACGCTGGGCTGTTGGTGGGTGTGTGAGCAGAGCGAGCGGCTCCACTTCTCAGGCCCAGGTTGGGTTGTACACACCACAGTGATGGCGCCAACTCTGCGCTATGGCTGCTCGCCCACGTGAGACCAGAAGCCTCTTGGGGCAGAGACATGCTGAGTGACTCCATGCAGAGGAAACACGCAGCAAGAGCTTGACCAATGAGCAAGCGAGCCCTTAGCTGCCATAGGAGTTCTGGAGAGAGGCTGGGAGGGGGCTGCCGCAGACCCCGGACTCTGTGGGAAGCTGAGTGCTGGCCCCAGGTGACCCAGATGGCCAGGACCACCGTCTAGCAGCCAGCAGGAGCCCTGGCCTGCTTCTCCGAAGTCCTGGTATGCAGGCGGGTCCTGGCCAGGAGCAGAGAAACTAACTTTGCAGTATCTGGCCCTTCGCCACCTGATCTCTGTAAGGATTGGCCTCGCCGGAAGGCCACTGCTCATTTGCAGGATGATGACCCAGAGAGCCACACCAAGAAAAGGTGCCTTCTGCTGTCCATCACAGGAAGATGACCTGACAGCCGGCCAGACTGTGAGGTCATCTCGCTAATGCACTGAAGGCTTAGAATGGAAGCAGTGGCCATGGTCACCTGTGGGCTGGTGTCCCTATATCAAAAGTCTCTGCCTGGGCCTGTGACAGTGCCTGGAATGCACCATGCTTGCATCTTTCCTTTGGCCCACGAAGACTTGAGTAACTGAGCCTCGCTTTGCCTCAGAGAGTCACAGAATGGAGCCTGAGGCAGGGAGCTGGGAGGCGTACCCCATGCACACGTCTGTCCCGGGGGAGGACTCTGTCCCCGCTTGGGACCTCTGTTTGAGGTGAGAGGAGCTCTCTCTTTTCACTCCTGACTACATGCTTCTCTCATTCCAGGTCTCCAAAAAGTACAGCGAGATTGAGGAGTTTTACCAGAAATTGAGCAGTCGTTATCCAACAGCCAGCCTTCCCCCGCTCCCCAGGAAGGTCCTGTTCGTCGGGGAGTCTGACATCCGTGAAAGGAGAACCGCGTTCAATGAGATTCTGCGCTGCATCTCCAAGGATGCTGAATTGGCTGGCAGCCCAGAGCTGCTGGAATTCTTAGGTACCTGAGGGTCTGTCCCAAGTCCCCGAGGTCCCGCCGGCCCAGAGCTAGGCCACGGCAGGCCCCAGGCTCAGCAGCCGCTGCCTCTGGTGCTCGGAGGCTCCCACATGTAACCACTCCACTCCAGGCTTCGCCGGTGCCCACTAACTCTCGGGGGGCTGCACAGGCACTTGGAGCCCTGGCTGCCCCCATCCACCCAGACCCACTGCCCTGGAAGCCTTCGGGTCCTGGCCCAGCAGCCTGGGTGTGGCGAGGCCCCTCGTGCCCTGGCAGTGGATGTCAGATGTCCCCTTCTCCCTCCACAGGCACCAGATCCCCAGGGGCTGGAGACCTCTCCAGCAGAGACGTTTCTGTCCTGGACACAGACCGCCAGGCAGGAGACGATGAGGAGGCTTTTGACTTCTTCCAGCAGCAGGAACGAGCAGAGAGGCCGCCTACCCCAGGCCAGAAGGGCGAGGATGCAAGCAAGTCTTCAGAAGAGGAGGAGGGGGAGGCCCTGGACCCTCTGGGCATCATGCGGTAGGTCCCCTGTTCTGGGAGGGCCCCCTTCCGGCTGATTCCAGGCTCTCTGGGGACGGTTCCTGCCCCGTGGGAGTCTGAGAAAAGCCCTCTCTTCCCTGGGCCATCACCTCGTATGGCCTGATGTGCTCGGGGACTGGCTTTCTGCTCACCCTCCACGTTGCCTGTGTCATTGGGGCTGAGCTCAGCTATCACCTGCCCCACCCTGGTCACAGGATGGCCCCTCAGCTCTGCACTGAGGCCTGGCGAGCCACCCCCCGGCTCCTCAGCAGCCCAGGCTGCCTGAACCCAGCTAGCCAGCCCAAGGGCCTGCGTATTTCATCCAGCTCATCACTGGCAGCCTGACACCGGTGGCCTATGACTAGGGCTCCCTGGGCCGTGTTTCACTGTCTGTAAAGCAGGAGGGTTTGCTTGGCCCTGCCTCCCCACAGGTGGTTGTAAGGTTCCCTTAAATGACACAGGTGGCGGGTACTGGTGACCCATGAGGTGCCAGGAGTGTTCGATGCAGGGAGGTACAGTGAGTCCAGGGTCCCCTGGCCAGTGGAGTATGTACACACCCGTGTACACACGCAGATGCCCACACGAGCAGGCACAGGCCCATGTGCGCACGCGTGTACACTGGCTGGAGGAGAAGAGGCAAGCCGGCTGTGGTCTCGGTGGTCCCTTCTGCCGCCTTCTCCTTCCTTCTCCTTTCCTGGCCTTCAGGGTGCTGCTCCTGAGCCCGCATGGCCCACTTCGTGCTGGGGAGCGGGCTGCAGGTTAGATGAGGCTGTAGAGCTAGACATTTGCTCCCAAGGCCCCCTCGAGGGGCACAGGCGGATCGGGACCTCCGACCAGGAGATAGGGGGGAAGCAGACAGGCTCAGCCACCCCGCAGCCCTCACTGCTGTTTTTCGAGCACCGGCATCAAGCTGCGTGGCACTTGGCAGTGCGTACGCCGTGTTTCGTCGACGCCCTGAAAGCAGCTGTTCTTATCCCATTTTACAGGTTAAAGAAACAGAGGCAAGTACCTTACCTGAGAGCAGACAGCTCATAAATAACGGTACTGGGATTCGAACTACGTGTCAAATCCTTGCCTGGGGGGCCAGGCTGCCTGGGTTTGAATCCTAGCTCTGCCATTTACCAGCCATGTGTCCCCGGCACGTTGTTCCTTCAGTATTCTGTAACAAAACAGGGGTAATGACAGCGCCTGTCTCTTGGGGCTCTTGTGAAGCTTGAGTGAGTTAACAAATGTGAGCGCTTAGCCTTTTGCACGGCCCCATCTTTCTGCCCCACCACCTCCAGAGACCCAGGGGGACAGTCTCTTCTGCCACGACGAAATCGGCCGAAGCTTAGTCCACAGATGCGGGAGGCCCGTTCCAGAGAGGAATGAAGGCTGATGGGAGGTCAGGCAGGGGCAGTGCGGCCGAAACATGGAGAAGAGGGTTGTGAAAGCTCTGCTGCTTGTCCTTGGGCCCCCTGTCCTGGCGGAGGTGCAGCGTGGGCACACGGGGCAGAGCGTGGCCGTCCGGGCTGCAGGGTGGCCGCGAGACCAGCCGAGAGGGGACAAGGATTCACTCTCGGGAAAGGTGCCCAGATGCTCAGGGAGCCGGATGCCCCGCAGCACCTGACGCCCAGGGGTCAGGCCCCCGCCGCCGTTGCACAGCCAGCCCTGACCCAGAGCAGGGTCAGCGGCCCTGTGTGAGCAGCAGTGAGGAGGGCCGGTTACACCAGGTGGGATTTGTCACAGCCACTCCTTATCAGCCTCGTGTGGCCTGCAGTCCCTTCTTGGACATTGTCTTGGTGAGCACGAAGCTTTGTTTGAGTTCACACTCTCTGTTGTTCTGAGTTACCACACGTAGTGCCAAGCTGAGATGGACCTCGGAGGTTTGTGCCAGCCTCTGGCTGAAGGACATGCTTAGCAAAGAGGCTCCTTTTTTGGGTAGGAAAATGCCCTTTGGGGTTGGCAAGGGCCGCCCTGACTTCCATGCTTGCTCCAGCAGCACATCGTCGGGGGATGCGTCAGCCATCCCGGGACCACCTGCCCGCAGCGCCAGCCCTGGCTCTGCGCTCCAGGGGCCTCACTCCTGAATCGTAGGAAAGCTTAGCCCCGAAGCAATCCCAGAGGCTTGAGACCTTCTGCCAGGTTTTCATTCACATTTCAGTCACCAGTGTGACCACAGTCTGTGCTGTCACTTCATCAGGGGTAATAGCAACTAATGTCTTTAAAGAGATTATTAACTGCTGGGAACTGATTAGAATTTACATGAATAAAATATTTTTTATTCTATGTCATTTTTTTTTTTTAAAGTCACGAGGCACCAAATTGCTTTCAGGTCCCCTTGTGTCTGGTTTCGGAAATGGTGCCCTAGGGAGCTGGTACTGGCACACGCTCATTTTGTGTCTGAGGATGCTGAAGTGTGGAGTCAAGCAGCTCATCCAAACATGAACGGCAAAGTCAGGACTTGATGCCACCTGCCCGCATTGTCCCTCAATTCCAGTCTCTCAGCAGCTCGAGAGGTGGGCAGGGCCTTAGGATTCTCTCCCTTCTACAGATGGGTAAATCGAGGACAGAGTGGAGTGGAGACTCGGCCAGAGCCTTGTGTGTGGCAGTCGTACCTCGAAGTCAGATCTCCCCTGGCCCTTCCTGGGACACTCAGGTGTGCTGTTGACTTTCTTGCACAGTGCCTCCCGCTCTGTCCTGTGGTGGGGGACGTTCTGTTCTTTGCAGATGACTTGGGCTTTGCCCATGTGTTTCTCCATCCCGCGCTCTCAGTTCCTCTGCAGACGCTGCGGCCCTGCCCTCTTCTCAGCCGCGCCCGCCCTCCACCCCCAGGCGCCCTCTCGGGTCTGGCTCTGGCGTCGGTCCTCCCTGCCGCGGCCACCGGGGGGCGCTGTGGCTCCGCTGCAGGGCTCCTGGAAGGGTGGGAGCTGCCAGCACAAAGCCGGGAGCAGGGACCGGCCCGGCTTTTCTTTGTCTTTGAAACCTGGTTTTGATTAGCGAAAAGACGAGTTACTACACCATTAGAAAGCGCTTAAAGATAGAAAAAGCCCCCACCCGGCCCAGTCCGACCCCACGCTCTTCTACGTGCGGGGTTTTGTGCGTCCTCGCCGCAGCGCGAGCCGCAGAGCTGCGGGCGTTCGCGGATGTGCCCTTCACACCCTGTTCTTTCGCTTAGTGTCCCCTCGCGGTCGCTTTCCCCGTCGCGCCTGGTTTTCGTATTTAACTTTCTATTTTCGAGACTTCACGGTTCTGAGAACGACGAAGTTCCACCCTAATAGCCCTGCCTTCTCCTGGAAATACTACTCCAGATACATTTTTAATTATAACTTGAATCATATACAATTAGTATGTGAAAATTGAAAACACACAGTTGCTTTCCCCCGTGAAGATACACTCTTTGGGATATTTGTGTTATGTTACCAAAATGGGATCGTGGTCCATGTGCCCTTCCCTAATTGGCCTTTTCTTTTAAGCTTGTATACTGCATCTCGTGAGGTTAATATAGATTTCTACATTCTTACTCTGTGCTAGTCCATTGGGTCATTGTGCTGTAAGTGGCATTGCCAGGCCCCTGCTTGGGGACATTCTGTTTTCTGTAGGTTTTTGCTATCACGGGCAATGAGGAACTTTTTCGTGTACGGAGTGGTTATTCTGTTGAGCTTTCCCCCGAGATACCTGCCCCAAGCGGGGTCCCCCAAAGCTTCTGTGGGGGGCCTTGGCTCTGCCGTACGGTGAAGGGTTCTTTGTGGACTTCGTGCGCTCTGCTGGGAAGGCCTCTCTGCGTTGTCGACCCCTGCCCGCCCACTACGCCCACTGCCTCCCACCCCTTCCCCCAGCTTGCAGGGAGCCTTCCAGGCCCCTAATCCCCGAGGACTCTCAGCTTGCCGAGGGACCGGCTGGTTCCTGTCCAAACACGCCTTCTTGTAAGGCCGGGCTTCCCACACTCTGCCCAGAGGAGGGGAGCCAGCGCCCAGGGCCCTGTGCCGTGGCCTGGAGTGGACGTTTCTTGGGAGTGCAGAGCTGGGCGGACGCCGATGGGGAGGAAGTGGAGAGGGGCAGCCGGGACACAGGACCATAGCCCATGTGTGCGACCTGCATCCATGTTCACACGACCTGAGTGAGGGGAAGAAATGGAGCTTGGAGACTGAGCGACTCACCTCACACCCCTGCGGTCAGAAAACCGGCGTCATCCTAGACATGCCCCTTCCGCCCACTGATCACTTCAGCAGTCTGAATTTATAGGCTCGTTTGCCTTCTCGTGTTCCCCCGGATCTCGTCTCCCCCTCACACAGGGCTGCTCCCTGAGTCCAGGCCCCCGGCATTTCTCCATGGGCCATGAGCAAAGCTTCTTCGGGGATGGGTTTCTGGTCACGCCCAGGCCACGCCCCCACAGACCCTCCTAGGATGAGGGTCTCTCAGTTCCTCTGCCTGAGTCATTCTTCTACCCTGAGCCCACCCAGGTCACTGCCCGCCTCTGCCATCACCTCCTCTAGGAAGCCCTCCTCTGTCCTGGAATTAACGTCCTGTATGGTAATGATCGATTTCCGTGTTTGTGACAGCTGGCGGCTATGAGTTTCTGGGGACGGTGGCAAGTCTTACTCATCTCTGCGCCCTCCTCACTCACACGGGGTCTTGCACGTGGCAGGTGCTGGGTCGTGGAAGGCACTCTGAGTGAATGGATGAGCTGCTCACAGAACGGCTGACGGGAGGGGCAAAGACCAGCCGCGGTGACAGCAAGTTTGGAGGAGGCACGAGCGAGCAGAGGGCGTCCTATACATGGTCCCGCGTCTCCAGCTGACGCTGGGAGCCTTCTTTCTTCATTCCTTTTCCCTCCGCCCTGGGGGAGTGGGCGGAAGAAGTCTGGATAAGCGATGTACCGTCGTCACCTTGTCTGTGCATCTATCTGTTCATCTGTCTGTCCTTCCCCCTCTTCCTTCCTCCTGCCATCCATTCATCTATCCGTCCTTTTTTTTTTTCATTCGGTGTTTATTGAGCATCTGCTCTGGACCAGGCACACTCCTGAGTCCCAGAGACCGAAGTGTGGGGACAGATCAGGACAGGACCCCAGGGGCTTTCAGCTGTCAAAGGTCCATATTTCCTGCTCGTTCTGTGTTCCCTGGAGAGGGTCAGGGAGAGTCGGGGAGACGGGAGATGCCCAGGGTGGCATGGGGTGCCTGACTGTGTAGCCCTATGTGCTGTAGTTTAACTTCATTTCAGTTCAAGACAACAAAAGATCAAAAACATCTCCAGGGAGGAAAACAAGAATCCTCATCCAGTTTGAGAGGAAAACTCCTGTAGTAGGAAAATGAGGACTGATTTGCGCTCTCAGATCCAGAAATAGGTGTAAAAAGGGAAATCTTTGGACGCTCTGCTTGGCTTCTCCAGGAATGATGAAGTGCATTGGTTTTCTCTCGCTGTCCTTTGTTCTTCGTGCTCCCTCTGATTCTGGTCCGTGGGAAGCCTCTCCCCCCGCCACCCCGTGCTGCAGAGGACCCTTTTGCTGGGTACAATGTGAGTTTGCTTTCCCCAGGAGCTGTTTCAGGACATGCTGGGTTTCTGGCCTGTGGACCGGCAGGCAGTGGCCGCAGAGTGGCAAGGCCCAGCCCTGCCCTCCCGGTTCGCAAAATAGTCCTGATTACCTGGTTGGGAGCCGGGCCAAGCGTAGGGTGGCTGCAGAGGGTCACGGAGGGACAGCAGTGGGGCAGAGCCTGCAGGCGCCAGGCTGACCGAGTGATTCCCAAATCTGACTGATCATCGATTCCACAGGGACTCAGACACAGCTTCCCGGACCTGCCCCTGGGCTTCTGACTCCATAGGTCCCGGCTGGGGCCGCCTCCAGCTAGCCTGCCCCGAGGGTCATGGCCTGTCTTTGGTACCTGTTTCCCAGGAGTCATTAGAACTGAACTGACTACCTGACCAGTGGAACAAGAGAGAAACGTCCCAGTGAGAGCAGCCCCCCAACTCAAGGTGCGTGAGGAGGCACGGCTGGAGTTTCTGGAAAGCACTTGCTGTTAGGATGGAGTCCAGGCTGCTTTCACCTTGCCCAGCGTCATAGGCAGGGCCTGAAGCTGACGCCAAAGCAGAGGCATGTCCCTGGTGGCCTGTGATGTGAGCCTGTCTGGTTTGTGCCAGGAATGGAGGAAAACCAGGGACGGAGGTACGGGGCTTCCTGGCCCAGCCCCTGCCGCTGAGTCTCTGCTCTCCATCACTGCCATCACACTGCACCACTGCCTCCCGAAACACCGCAGGATGGAGCCTGTCATCCCCGCTCCCCCCGTCCTGTATCTCGTTCCGCTCGTGGGATGCTTTGAGCGGCAGGAGCAGGACCATGACGGCCCTCGGTTCCAGCTGCGGTGTCGCCCTGCCTGCTGTGTGGCCTCGAGCAGACTCCCAGCTCCTCTGAATCGCCGCTTCTTCAGTCTGCCCGACCGGCTCCCTCCTGTGGCTTTCCAGCAGGTAGCTTCTCCCCACCTCAGCCGGGCGCCTGATCCTGCCAGGCGTCTAAATCCAGACCGTGGGAACGGTCACCTCCGAGCACCCTGCCCTCCCACACCCAGGGCGGCCCTGCTGCTATTTTTATCTGCTGCCGGTTAATCTGTCCCGTTGTTCGGGGGCAGAACCAGCCTCTCGATGCAGTTTCGCCACATAGTGTCACCAGCGTGAGCTCACAGGATGACCTTAGTCTGGGGGAGCTGTCTGCCAGGCAGGTAGGCAGGCCAGAAATCCCGTTTCCAGTAAAAATCTTACTCTCATTTGTGGGAACCTTCGAATGGCTGCTTTAGGCATCAGCCACAGGGATTGGATCCCATTGTTGAACGAAAAGCAAGTTTGTTTGTTCATTTCCTGGTGGTGTGTCTGACAGTGACAGGTGCAGCTCTGCAGCGCTCGGCCCCACAAATGCTTACGTGCGCGCTGCGTGACCACCCCCTGCACCGGGGCGTAAAGCGCTCCCACGGCCCCGGGCAGGGCCCGGGCCACCTGAGGGGTGACCATCAGTGGCACTCTGAGTAGTCGAGGGGCTGAAGGAGGCGGGGTCTGCTCAATGGGACTGAAGCTTTTTCTAGATCAATGGCGGTTACACCACTCAAGGGACCGGGAATGTGTATGGGGAAACGGAGCGGTTACCAGGCTGCTTTCTGCTCTTCCCTGGGGCCAGGCCCTGAGGTTTACGGCATCCACCCCGTTTCCAAGTGGCACGGAGTGACTCTGAGTCTGAGCTCTGGGAGCGCTGAGGTTGGCGGCCCCCACAGCCTCTGGAAGGAGAGCGCGTTCTCTGACCTGTGACCATGCAGGCAGGCCTGAGGCCGGAATGGCCCCTCAGGGATGGGGGTCTGGCAGTCGGCGTGTAGTCCAGTTGCCCACCCGCCCCTCCCTCACAGGGGTGGTTCTCCAGGCACAGGGCTTGGCCGATCTGCTAGCAGGGTCTCTACCTCCAATGTAAGGTCCTTGGAAAGTTCCTTCTGGACACAAGCTCAAGCCCGCCCAGCACCTGTGTGGGTCTGACAAGGCCACCTGCGCCAGCCAGCGGGGCTGTCCTGAGACATCCTAACCTTGAGTGTTGTCTGATTGTCCAGCTCCAAGAAGCCTAAGAAACGCCCTGAAGTGGCCGTGGAGCCCAGACCCTCACCCCGGCTCACCATCTTCGATGAGGAGGTGGACCCCGACGAGGGGCTCTTTGGCCCGGGCAGGAAGTTCTCCACCCAAGGCCCCGCAGAGGACGCACCCCTCAGGGACCGTAAGTAGAGCACCTAGGGTGTTCCCATCACTCTTGGTGTCCCCTCGGTGACTCAACCAGCCTCTGCGAGTGGCTTTGGACCTGCCCAGGACGGAAGTCTTCCCCTTGTCCTGTTTCGACATGGTACATACTTGGCTGATGGAGGTTTTAAGTCATTGTTGTCTCAATTTGTCCCTATGTATGCTGAACGTTCATTTGCCTGATAGTCACTTTACTCCTATTTTTGGGTTTGTTTTTTTTTTTTTGTCATTTTGTTTTAGGTGAGCTGACCCCTTTCTGTATTTCCTGTAGTGCAGGCCTCGTCGTGGAGAAGTCCCTCAATTTTATATGTCTGGAAAGGTCTTAATTTCTCCTTCATATCTAAAGGAGAGCTTGGCTGGATACATTATTCTAGGCTGGTAGTATCTTTGACTTAATAGTATGAATGTTAGATTCCACACCTTTTTGGTTCATAAGATTTGTGCTAAGAAATCCAATGATAATCTAATTGGGTTTTCCTTTATAGGATACCGTCTTCTTTTCCCTGGCTGCCCTGAGAATTCTGTCTTTGTCTTTAATTTTTGATAATTTTACTACAATGTGTCTTCTGAAGGCCTTTTTGGATTGATATAATTGGGTGTTCTGTTGACTTCTTGAATTCCAAGCTCCAGCTCATTACTTAGATTTGGGAAATTCTCATCACC